TTACCTATAAGACCTTGTAACTAAATCAGGTCAAAATTGTACGAATTAATAGAAAAGTTTTTGCTCTATCTAATTGTATCTTAATAGAGAAGATTAAAGTAGATGGACGACTCAACAAGTACTTGACAAAATTAACTAATTGAATTTTTACTAAAAATATTTGTCAGAAATTCACTCGAATTCCAGCGAAACTGAGAAATAGATCGGGTGAAAATCAATAGTTTGATAGAGAAGTGAATTCTCTATCTAGCTGTATCAAAACAAAGGATAATCATTCGTCCAATGCGTTGTAATTGCTCAAATTACTCAAAGCAAAAAATCATTAAAATTCCACAGAAAAAGATGTTTTTTAACCTGCTTCTCAGTATTTATTCATTTTTGTCATAAAAGTATAATACAAATCAAAAGAAAACTATACAGATGGATAGAGTAATCAATGCTCTCTCAAACCATGTAGAAATAAAAAAATTCTGAACTCTTGCAAAGATGTAGTAAAACGAAGAAAACTAGTAAAAATAAGTGAATCATCCTGTATTTGTACTGTATGGTGTAAGGATACAAAGATAAGAAAAGAAAAGAGTAAATCACACTATAACGCACTTCAATTTCTATACTTATCCTTTGATTTAATTGACTGTTAGTAAATTTTACTAACTGGTCTTTAAGTTTATCAACAAATCTTATTCATAATTAACTGACTATTTAATTAATTTACTGATTATTCATTCAATCTACTGATTTTTATAATTATTTAACTTATGGACGAAATATTTTGTTTCCTTGATTATTTAGTAGAATATATGTATGTTTTTTTTAAAGATCATTCTATATAACAATATCATTTATTCAACAAAAACGTTTTAAAGAATCGGCTGCGTTTGTTATAAAAACTGAAGCATATATTGAACAGGCAAAGAAAATAGTCGATGATGGACAACAATTAAAATCAAGTGAAATTAATTATCAAGTACGAACATAGCGCATCATTATTTCATTGAAATTAATTTTTTTTTCTTTTAGTCATTATTAAATGAATTTACTTTTATCCAATCGAAACTAGATGAAGTTAAATATGAAATTCAAACATCAGCTACATCAGCACCAATAGGTAGCGGTTCACCTAAAGTTGGTACAATACAACAATCATTTGATCAGCCTCTTTCAATAGACGAGCAAAAGGAATTGGACAACAAAGTAGCACCAACACATTTTCTCAGCAAACTTTCATCTTATTCATTATTTTTTCGTTTGTTAGCCTTTAATTGATCGCTTGGATACTTATTATGAAGATTCATCATTAACTAATAAAAGTCGTTTGAATATTGTTCCATTACCACCTCCATTCAAACCTATTCCATGCAAACCAGTTCTTTTCGATTTAGCACTTAATCACCTAACCTTTCCATCATTAGATGATAAAGTTCAAAGCAAACGTCAGGCAACAACAACACCTACTGACAAAGGACAACAACAACAAGCTGGACTTACTGGTTTTGTCAAAGGATTTTTTTCTTGGGGTGGAAAAAAACAATAAGCTATATAGAATTGTTTTTTTAAACACGAAATACAAAAGAAAAGACTGATTTTATTGTTAAAAAAAAATATAAGCGTTACATTATTTAATCATTTTAGATGGGGTCTATATTTGGTAAGAAATCTCATAAATCTCCCAAACAACCGGCAATCACAGAACAAGATCGTGCAATACTTGTAAAGCTAAAATAAAATTCTTTTTTTTTTGTTTTTCATGAGGTTTTTATTTAGCAATTAAAACAACAACGTGATCGATTAAATCAAAATCGACGACGAGTTGAAAGTCAACTTGAACGTGAACGTGAAGTCGCTAAACAATTATTAAAAAATGGGCAAAAAGAGTAATAAATAGTTGCTTATTATATTCATAAAAGATCCCGCAGGATTTAGTGACCTATCTTGAATCTGGATACGATATGTTTGATCTTGTAGAGCCATTTGTGATATATCGAATAGCATATAAGAAATCAAGTTTTTGATGGTCTGAAGATCCATAGACTGATTATAATTATCGAGAAATATAAATGGTACTCATAGACATTGTGATCTTTAAGATATTCTAAGATTAATTTATGCATAGTTTTTTAAACTGATGTAAGTATTTGCTTTATAAATAGGAAAATATTTTTGGCCTCTTGATTCTTAGAGAAGAGGAGGGTCATATGAAAAAAATTATTTTTGAAATGAACATTAGATATCTTAAGGTTCTTGCTGAGCTTTGTTCATAAATCAAAACTCGATACTTAGAAAAAAAAAATTTAAAAGAAATAATTACAATAACAGATCTCCTGCATACAATCATATTTCCTTCCTGGAGTCTGAAGGTCCAAAATTTGTTTCCTTTTATAAAGGAGTTATTTATATCAGTTCATCAGAAATGTCGTGCTAATTATTGGTCTCATAAAATTGTTTAGTAGAATCATTGGATAATGTTAAGATATCGTCCGTATACCGACCTGTTTATAGAAGAAAACAGCTTATTTCTAGGGAACAATCTTGGAAAATGACAAGAAGTTTCTACTATTCTGAATGATGTTATGTGCTAAACATATCGAGCTCGAAAATGTACAATTTTTAAGCAAGTTTTACGTTGGTACTCACTTAAGCTGTAACACAAACTTGATTCCACTGGAATATCAAATAGTCGAGAAACGACCTAGATCTAAGAAAAGGGACCATTTTTAACTGTGCAGAAGGCAACAATAAAAAGTATTCATTATGGAAAATTGAAGAACACATTTAACTGTATCGAATCGAGTTTAAAAATAAAACTTGCATAAATTTTTCTTAGAATATTTTAAGGATCGCAATATCTGTGAGTATCATATGTATATTTCTTAAGGATTCTAACCAGTAGAAAGACTCTCGGAACGTTAAAAACTTGATTTCTAATATGCCATGCAATGTACTAGAAAGTGCTCCACAAGACCAACTATATGATATTTTGATTTAAGACAGGTCACTAATTAAGACGGAATCGTTTTCATATTAACAAATTTTTTTAGTCGTGCATTATTATTACTTCGAAAGAAAAAAATGCTTGAAATGCAGCTTGATAAAAGTGAAGGTATACTGGAAAATGTTGAACGAATGGTAATGATGTTTTCTCTTTATAACTATTCATTTATTTTTATTTCCTATAATAATTAGACCCATGAATTAGAATTTGCTCAAGTACAAGTTGATGTCGTTAATAGTTTGAAACAAGGAACAGATGCTTTGAAAAAAATGAATGAAATTCTTAAACTTGAAGATATTGAAAAATTAATGGAAGATTCGCGTGAAGCTATCGAATATCAAAATGTTCGTTTTAGTCTTTTAGACTATTTAAGTTGATTAATTTTGATGCTTTCTTTTTTTTTGTTTTCAGGAAGTATCAAATCTTTTAGCTGGTGGCTTAAGTCGAGCAGATGAACAAGATGTGGAAGCTGAATTAGATGAATTAATTCGAGCTGATGAAGCACAGCACATTGGTCGTTTACCAGATGTACCTCAACGTCGTGAACGTAAACTATATGAATAAACATTTAAATTTGATTATATTCGGTTTGTTATTTAGGCGAACGTGATCGTATACCTGTTGTGTCTCCAACAAGAGCCAAACAACGTGTACTTGCAGAAGCTGATTAAATTAAAAAATTCTATTTCTATGTTATTTGTTTTGTGTATATGCTTCAATCGTTCTGTCTCTTTTTCTACAGACATATAAACATTTCGAATTCCTATTTGTTTTTTTATTAAATAACTATATAAATCATTGTGTTTTTAGATTTAAATGATCATTAGAGATTATGTTGGTCATACTTTATTAATATTTGTAACTGGTGAGATGTTTTGAGGGTTTTATTATCTGTGTGGAAATAAAAGAAGCTTGCGATTTTCACTGATAAACAGTGAAGTCTTGGGTCTACAAAGTCAAGTTCGATTAATCCGAAGTTGGTCAACTAAAGAGATATTTGCCAAACATCTTAAGCATGGTTTCCTAGAAAAACTTCGCTCATGTATTTTTATTATAATTATTTTTACTTGAATGCGAAAATTAACCTTTCTCAATACACACAAATCTAACATTCTTAAGCTGTTTTGTTCAAGAGTTATAAGGGTTTTTCATAGACTCTCGATTTCGACCAATTGATTTCTGATCATTTCAAAAAAGGTCAGAATGCGAGCAATCAACTGTGGTGAGTCGAACAGTTATCATAGTCTTCAATTCGAATATGATCCTAAGCCGGTGGATCAAAACTTTCGAAACTGCAGCTTTTCCCGTTTATAACATGGAGAAGCGCATTTTGGAAGATTTAATCTAGCGGCTTAGGATCGCATTCAAATTAAAAATGATGATCAGGTTTTCACTCTGCGTAATTGATTCTTCGTATTCTGACCTTTCTTAAAATGATTAAATATCAATTGGTCAACATTGAGAATCTCTGAAAAACCCTTGTAACTCTTGAACAGAACAGTCTAGCAGTGTTGGCATTTTGTGAATGGAGACGGTTTGATTTTTTCTTTCAAGTAACAATGATTGAAATAAAAATGCGAGAAGAAAATTTTCTAGAAAACCACTCTCAAGGTCAGCAGCAAAAGCTCATCTAGTGAATCAACCTCAGATTAATTAAATTTGATATTTTAGACCTAAAGTATCATTCTTTAACAGTGAAAATGACAGCTCTCTATCTTCTTTCTATCAGGAAATTATTCAGATAACTGTAAGGTCTCTTTCATTTCTGAACGAATGATAGTTTGTAAATAAAACAAATAAGTAAGAAAGAACAAAGAACTGTCATTAGAGCGAAATATAAAGTTTTTTAACAATTTTAAATATGCTAAATATATGTTTTGATATATATTTTTGTGAATCCATTCTGGAACAGCTTTCTTTAGTCGGAGACTAAAAAGTTTGATCTTGCACACCTCTACTCATAATTGTTATCGTTTATTTTTGTAGATGTAAATAATAGAAACAATTTATGATGAATCTTATGTTATCATTTATTTTTCTCGCAATATTTCTTCCACATATATCAAGTCTATTTTCATTGGAACATATCCTTTGTAATCAATCAATTTCAACTCCATTAATTGATTTTTCTATAACAACAAATCAAAATATATCATTAAATCTTTGTAATATAACATTCAATCTTACAATTCATTCAAATGAATATTTTTTTTCGCAAAATATTTCTGTTGATAAACAAATAACAAATCCAATAAATCCTCATTTTACCTATATAGGTAATGTCATTAATGACGATGATGATGATCATTCAAGTGTTAGTTTAGTTATTTATCCACAATTGCAAATTTATTTATATTTAAATGGTACATATTATTATTATCTTTCATTATCAAATAATTCAGCAATAACATTAAAATTTTCTCAACGACAATTGTTACGATATTATCCTCAATTAGTTAATGATAGTTTATGGAAAGTTTTACAGCATGAAGTCGATAATTATCAACAAAATTCATTTATTTTACATGATTTACATTTTATATATGAGTTGTTAACATTACGATGTGAATCCGATAATATACAATATAAAACAATATCATTTTGTTCGTTAGCTTTATTAATTGATGATTATTTATATGAAAAAATTTTTTATTCAAATATTTATTATATATATACATTTATAGAACATTTTAATTTTTTGTTACGTACATTAACATATAACGAATATGGAGGTTTTTCATTAAAAAATTTAAAATTAATTAATCATATTGAAATAAATTCGAATCAATCATTTGATTTACTTCATAGATTGTCAAATAATATAAGTTTATTATCAAAAGATTATTGTCTTGTTCATCAAATGTTAATGATAAATAATGAACATGAGAATCATATTCTTGGTTATCAATCATCAATACATACATATGATATTGGTGGAATATGTTCATTACCATTTCATATAAACAATAATAACCATTCAGAAGAAATCAATCTTAATATTGGTTTATCGATATTAAATGAAAATATAACAACAAATCTTTCAATATTTTTTAATGGTTTAATGAAGACAAGTTATTTATTTTTTCGTCAAATGGGTTTAAATTTAACATTATGTTCAATAAATGCAACACGAAAAGGTTTTTTTCAATTTAACACTGATTTATCACCTATTGTTCAACATTGTATTGATCTTATACCAATAACATTACGACCAGCACTTAAACGACGTGCACATCTTTGTTTTAATCATATTAGCATTCATAATTTAACAAATGAAACAATTAAACAAAATGTTATATGTAAACAATCTATTGATTTACAATCGTCTGTACCAATTGATGGAAAAAATCGTAAAAGTCCGTATATTGAAAATGCATTAAATGATAATCGACGTGGTGAATGGTTTGAAGGAAATATAGTTGGAATGATTTTAACATTTTCATTAGTTATATGGATACCTGTTAGTTGCTTTGTACATTTTTGTGTTGATGAAATAAATAAAAAGTCATTAATTGAAAAACAACAAGATGTGGAAACATCACCAATGAAATCATCAATTATTGAACAAGTTGGAATAACAAAACAAACACAAACTGATTGAAATGTGTGTTTTTTTTCTTTTGTGTCAGATTTGTTTCTCTTTTTTTTGTACTTGATGTGGAAATATATTTACTTTTATTATAGTAGAGATGGAATAAAATATCAACACTGATTTTTGTTAAATAAAATTCTATATTTTATTTGAGATGTCAACACTTTATGGTTATAGTGATTTAATATCGGAAGATGTCGAAACAATTGATAGTGATGAAGAAGATGAAAAACGATCAAGTCGAGATCCGGATAAGTAAGTTTTATTTTTTGTTTATTATATACAATAAAAAACGAAATGAGAAAATGTTGAGGTTCGTTGGTAACCATGTTTCAATTAGACATATCTTGAACATTCGATATTGGAAGTTTTCGTTGCAGGACACATGTCGCATAGGCAGAACGTTACAAAGAGGGTGTGGATGCGCGTGCGCATGTGTACTTCTGAGTGTGTCGATGTGGGTGTGATAGTTGGTGAGGAATTTCTTCGCTGATACCAATATTCACATCCAGAAAAAATATTGCAACCTTCTGCCTATACGACGAAATGTCCGGCCACCGAAATTTCTACGAGAACTATTTATTTGGTCTTTCTCTGTGGTTCTTATACATAAGATATTCTATATTCTATATTTGCTAATTATTTTCATATATCTCTGACGCTAGCAAAGAAACTTTGTCAGATGCCCCTTTCTGATTTCGATGATTTTTTGCCTATGTATACTGCATAGTATTCTAATAAAAACTCTCAAAGAATTTCGGCTCTTCTTGCAATCAACTAAACTATCAAATTTTAAATGTCTATTTTCTACAAGCTCCAGTTTTTCGAAAAATTCATATTTTCAACTTTGATTTAAAGCTTCGTGCATATAAAGAAATCAAATAGGTCAACTTTCATGAAAAACTCAGAAATTTTGAACAAAACCCCTTTGAGATATGAGACTTTCAAGAAATAGAGATGTTTTCATGGATAATGGATACAACAGAAATTGTTTTTGGAAACTTCACATTTCGAAGAGACTTCACTCAAAACTTGCGAATTTTATAGGAAAGTTATTCTAATTAAGTGCTCTACATATGCAAAGTTTCAGATCAAAAGTCAAAAGTACGATTTTTTCAAAAAGCGGGGGAGGGGCCTAGAAAACAGACGTATTAAAAATTTGATGGCTTAATCAAATCTCAACAGGAACCAAAATTATTTGAGGTCTTTTGTTAGAACATTATGTAGCATTTTTAGGAAAAATATCATTGAAACTGGAAAGGAACATCGGAGGAGGTATCCTCGTTAGCGTAATATCCCTGAGGTTTCGGTTTTTTTTTTTGTATTGTTTTCATATAATCTTACAAGATTATTCAAGACTAGAGGTAAGATCTCGTAAGGTCTTTCTATCTGATTTATTTATCTAGGCAATTTCCAATTTTTTAGTCGTAAGAACTTATTTGTTCTAATATATTTTGTTTTGTATTCAATGACTGATGTAAATAATTTATTCATAGATAATGTGTCATAGAATTCTGAGAACTTGTTCTCTTCGAAATGCTGCTCAAAGCCAATTTAACTTGAAAGTTTCATGCAAAATACTTACAAAAGAACAAGAAAAGAATTGTAATAAGTGTCCGAATATTTAGAAGTGTTTGGCCTGATCCTCCTTTTTCCTGGAGATTCTTGATTGATGACCTCTAAATGAATTTAGACGTGCTGATCAGCTAGCAAGCCAGAGAACTATACTTCTTTTATCAAAGCCTCATCACTCAATGTGATCAATATTCTTTTTATATGTTGAATTTAGTTCTTTAGAATAGCATCGTGCAAACGAAGAGCTGAGTGACTTATATAAGATTCTTATCAATTTTTGATTTGAGTGGGATATGATTGATGTAATTAACACATCTGACGCGATGGGATCCATCGGTAGGATCCACTAAAGAGTGACCCAAAACTTCCTTTATGACGGAAAAATTGAATATCTCTGCCATATTTTGACGGAAGAGACTGGCTCTTTTACCCCTGATAAAGGGATGTTCACAACTCATATTCATAAGAGGAACGTTGATAAAAACTATTTTGAAGTAATACAATTGTTTTTAATAAAGAAATGGAACTTTTCGTGAAGTATAGAAAATCAAAATATAAGTATCGCTGCGAATGTATTAAGACGACATCATTTTTTGCTTTTATGTGCAATCCATATGAATATATTAAATAATTTAGGTCACCATTTTCAATCATTTGGCGAGATGATTTAAAAAATGATAATATCAAAATTTCATGTTCATCTTTATTAATTACTTTAGGAACAACTGCTTCAGGTAAAAACTTTTTAATTATTTGTCGAATAATAACTAGACGACAAATTGTTTCTTTTTAAATAGCATTTGCTTTTACGCATGTTTTGTGCAACTATGATCTTGAACTAATAGGCTACGGAACAGATGAAAAAATGACTGATGATGGAAATGTTGAAACAAAATCCTTTGATCAAATCAAAACGCAACAATATTCAACACAAAGTGTTGATCGTATTTATCGATTGCCATCAAGTTCATTTGTACTTATTCAATTAAATTCTTCAATTAAATCTGATCGTCTTTGGCCAATAAGTGAACAGGTATTTACAAAAAATCTACAAAGTTTCAATAATTTTTCATAAATATAAAATAGATTTTGAATAAGTTCAATTTTTCAAATCTAAATATTTCAAATCCTATTTACATTATACAATCACATTCATCTATGGATTATGTTACTATAACAGGTGAATTAGAAAACAAATCAAATTTATTTATTCGTTATATTAAATCGTCAATAATTCCAACAGATGATAAAATAACACAAACAATTAAACCAATTGAACCACCAAATGCAATTCGAGGTCTATCAGCTGCTTGTAAGTCGATTTTTTCTCATTTATCTCTTTTCATATTTATCTCAAAAAATTTTCTTAATATAGTATTTACGAAATTTCATCAAGCAAATATTCCGGTTATAGTTCTTGTCGTTTATCAACGTCATTCATCTGTTAATGCTGATGCATTAAAATTATTACAGCGAATATTAGATCGAACATCACCAACACTTAAACCATATATTCAACTAACAGAAAAAACAAATAAACAATTGATTCGATTAGCATCCATACAAACAAGTAATATGTACTCGTAAATATTACATCTGATTATAAAGAACAAGACAAACAGTTTTATTCTTATTCTTTTGTTTTTCCAATAAACATTATGAAACATTTCTAAAAAAAAAACGAACAAACAGGCAAACACAAAAAATATGATCAAATGAATCTGGCGTTTTCTTTCTGTTTCTTTTTAAAATGGAAACATCATTCCAAATAATAGAACATGCATAACGACAACACTAATTGCAATAAAAATTAGAATCATTGCAATTGTATAATTTCGATAACTTGGTTCACCATGATATTCGGGTGTAATAAGCCAAAGTAAATGCTGAATATAGTTATCAGCTGAAGTTATATCGGCTTTTGTTATGCTAGTTAAGTTAAGTGCCGAACTAAGAGAATCAAAACTAACCATTAATTTATTCCAATAAATTCAAAATACCTTGTAAAATCAAAAAAAGCTGATTGAAAGGAGACAGGATATCGTTGTGTTGATGTACTATCACAAGTATCTTTGGTACAATCAAAGTGCCAATTTGAATAAGTATAACTTTATGTTCATAATTATTGATATAAAAAAAACAATGAAAACAAAAAAGAATAACTTACTTATATTGAACAGAAACAATTCGTTCGAATGAAACTGTTGGACTGATTTGTACACGAACGTAACCAAACTCTATGTAAATACCAGATGGAACATCATAGCAAATTGAAAGAGTTTCTGTTGCATCATATATCGCATAGACACTTGTATTACGCCTTGTTCGAGTAATATAACTTGTATTTAATAGATTATTGAGGCGTGTTTGATCGATTCGATCAAGATCACGTTTATCTTGATTTTCATCTCTAAATTACAAATAATTTTTTATTATATTATAGTCTTAAACAATAGTAACAGATCACTCTAGAACGCATCTATTCTTCTATCATATTGAGCCAATATTTCGGGTATCTGTGTGTAATAATGAATCCTGGTCGTAAGCATTCACCTGTCTTTCATCGGCTCAGATGTATTGAGGCTATGATATAAAACATTATTTTTGCCTCGCGAAAAATATATACAGCAGTAATATGCGTTCAAAAGGTTCCCGTTCGTCATTGTATTATTTCATAAGACATCACTACTTTTTCTAGTGTTAAAGACAGTGTCATATGCATACTGTATTATTACAGAATCCTATAGTACATAGTCAAAGCCTAAATAGTCAATACGTTCAGACATAATGAACCCATATCGCAGCTAGTGTTCTATAATCTAATCCGATCCGACGTATGGATCCGGATGCAAAGTCGCTGAGTAGGTTCGGAAGGTTTCAGGATATAATCTCATAACGAGATCTGATCCGACAATTAATGAGATCTCGACTTTGCAAAATATTTTTACTTTTTCAAACTGCTACCTTATATAATAGCATAAGTGTGAAAACTGATCACAGAAGTGAAAAGGAATACTGTTTTACTAAACGCATTCATTTATAATGAAAATTCATGTACCGAATATGATGAACCATATGACAAAGTAATTGAATACATGGAAAGGAAAATGAATTATCAAAAACATCAAGATGTTTTATCGTGATGGAAAAATATGCATGTATGGATCCATAGTTATGCCGTTTAGCACCAACATTACATTACACTCCAGTATCAGCAGCAACAAACAAATGTATATTTGATGAAATTGATCAGATCTTAGAAGCAGAAAGATACCAAGTGAATATTATCTCATTTAATTCACTTGCTTTTTTTGTAGAATTTGAATTTATCTCTTTTTTTCTATTGCTGCTTATGGAAGAGACTACATAGGTGAGAGTATCTGTCGGAGGATGAGAAGCTCAGGTTCGAGTTCGGTTGCAAAAAGTCATATCTGTTTAGAACATTAGTCGCAACCTTAACTCAACTTTAATCAATTCTGCAACTATGAAAGTTTCAGTACAAACTTGTTTTCTCATGAAAATTTTCTGCTAATAGCTTTAATGAAAAAGATCCATCTTACTAAAAACTAGCATTTGTATTTTAACAGACGCTCCTAGCAAGAAAACAATATCTCAGTCTTTTTAAAGTGAGTTCTAGCAGGATTAAGACTAAAGATAGCTACGACACTAGACTTCGGACAATAATATTTGCTAAGTTGATCACAATGTTGGAATCGTAATTCCAGCACATGTGAATTAATAGAGATTGAGCTATTACTGCCAATTAGGACTTATTGTTACATGGATCTACGCAAAATATTTACTCAATAATATAACGAGTAGTAGCCGTTCATGACGGGCTGCTACTGTTATTTAACACTGTAAACATATATATATACCTACCGTATTTGAATTAATGTTGCATTTGCACTTGGATATGCAAGAACATGTGATGCTGGAGCATAAAATGTATTTAAATAGAGATACATATTAAGTCTATTAAAAATCAAAGAAAAAACATACAACTAAATTTGTTTCAACAAAAAAAAGAAACTAACTTGAGATCGTGACATTGTTGTATCGTCGCTCTTCGTAATTGAATAAAGCAGTATGATGAAGTACCTTTTTTATAACGAATATTTTGCCGTGTAGCATCAATACATAAACCATTCGAAGCTTGAAAAATACAATAAATTGTTTTAAAAATCAAAAATAAAGAAAATAACTTTACATGCAACTAATGTTGATACATCTGAGAGGAAATTATTACGTCGAAATTGAAGAACTTCCCCATCAAGATAACCACCTAAATCAAACGAGGATCATTAATTACAAAAATAAAACCTATTCATACGAGGGATAGTTGTAGATGATGCAGAATCATTTGCAACATTATTCCATTCAATTGTAATTCGTGGATTTGATGAAGGTCCACTTGAAGGTGCATATAGAACGAAAACTTCAACAGTCGATATAGTATTATCAACTGATGAATAATTAAAACGGTAGAATACTCTCATAATATTGCCTGGACAAGATATTACTACACAAAATAATGAAAAAAAAATAAACAGAAGATAATAGAAATAAAAATAAAAGGGAACTTTTGAAAAACATACATGTTACATTGATTGCATTATTAAAATCAGCAAAATTTGTTGAATCATCTATTGATGCATTTACAGCAATAAAAAATCTATCCTCAATAGTACTATATTGTAAATTATCTCTTGATGGACATCCACTCCATGTTTGATACTGATTACTGCATAAGTCAATATTAGTTACATTACAAACAGAAAGATAACGTTGAGTTCGTGTAGTTGGATGTCTACCAGGACAATAATCATAAATAGTAATATTATTAGATGTTATATCATTAATATTTGGAGAAGTTGAATTCTGAAAATAATATTCCGTTGTGAAATCTCTTATATTCGATCCAGATGGTGAATATGTTTTTGTATAAAAAGTGACATTTACAAGCGAACTTGAATCACCACCTTTCAAAAATGATGTTACAGAATTTATACGACTGCAAAGATTCTGTGTAGAAGAAAAGAATGTTTAAATTAGAAACAAAAAGAAAAATACATATAATATTATTTCATACGGATACTGAAATCGATGGACATGAAAAATCACGATTGATTCCAAATAAAACATTTACATTCTCTTGACAAGTTATACCAGCTAAATTTCCAGGTAGTGTAAAGGATGTATTTGATGTTTGTTTAATAGGAGCACCTATAGAATAGTTTACTGTACTAGAAGACGATATTAATGTTGTCGATTGAAATAAATCTGAATATTCATCAACAAATGTTGTATATAAATTAGTTGCGTCTTCATATCTTTTTAAAAACGTCATATTCCTTGTTGGATGGTATATTCCAAGAATTTCATGAAGTTCAAACTATGTTAAAGAGTAATAATATTTTTTTTAATTTTATTGTCATAACATACTTGTACACAAACAAATGGAAAATAATCATATGCAGCTGCAGATGTACTATTCGAACAGTTCCATGTTTGAAAATTTAGTAGAGTTGCTGAAGCATATGAAGCAGTAGTTTGTCTTGATTTACAAATTGGTGATACTGTCAAATCGAAGTCTTTACAATCCTAGATAAACGAAAAAAATTCAATAAAAATTTTGATGTATTTTTAAATGACAAACAGGATCACAGCAACAGTTTGGATCGCAAACATTAATCCGAACATCGCATGAACATGGCGCTGGATCAGTAACGGCTGGATTGACAAAATCACGTTGACTCCATACAATATCTATGAAAGAAGAATTAAATCAATTTCTTAATTAAAAAATAATTACATGATTTGAGTTGAAGAATCATGAGAATGTATATAAGAAAATACATTGCATTCACTATACTGTTCGATAGTGATAAATTGATGCTTTCTAATAGAATATGCAAATCGCCATTATTGATTTGGTTACTATTGACTAACCTATGATATATCTATGAATAATTAATAATGTATTTCTTTAAGATAAGAAACAAAAATTTTACGATGGTATTTGAGTTTTTAATAGTTATTTGAGTTCAAATAAAAAATGCATAAGTAAATAAATCGAATCTAATTCGTCTTTTGTCATCCAATAGAAATACAACAATGAAATCTCTGTTTGTCTATCACCATCCACAATCCATTTTTTCCCTTGTCCTCGTGTTTTGATACTATTGACATCGTTTACCGTAAATTTTATTATAGATAAATTTCTTTTTCGAAATTAAAAAAATCAAAGAAAATGCTAGCTCATCTAGCTGCTAGTGGTCGATGTGCTACTCTCCGTACGCTTCCTCGTGCAAATACATTAGCTGTTATCCGTAAAGCTTCATCATCAAGTGGAAGTAAACAAACTGAAGAGCCAGTAGCCGTTTCAACACCAGCTGGAAGCAATGATCCAAATAATTCACCAATGAGTCAACGACCATTACCTCCTGACGATGGCAAAGTCCGTAAGTCAACATGTCTATATTGATTTATGCAAAGCTAATAATTTATTTCTTCGAAGGTTTTCCCAATCCTTGGGATGTTATCCTTAATAAGCGTCGTTTTGAATATGCTATGGTTTGTAATAAACAAAAATTTAATTTTCGTTTATGAATCTACTTTACTTGTCAGAAATTTAAAGGATATGATGATCCATTTGATATGATGCCAGTTAAACGTATTGAAAACAGCACAGCAGAAAATCCAAATTTATTACCAAGTTGTAATGATAAACGACTAATGGCTTGTATCTGTAAGTCTATTGTATACTTATTATTTATATATCATGTAAATGGAATCATAGGTTTCGATGTAGAAAGGACTAGTCCTACCTCTCCATTTTTTTGTCATGTCTGCGATAATTTTAAGTTATTGTCATAAAATGTCTGTTAAATTTAAGAAATCAGCTTGTTTCAGTCGTTTTTTTAACCAGGAAAACTATCTGTCAGACTTCTAGCTTCTTTTACTTCGAAAAGTTATCAGAAACTCTGAATAGAAGCTTTTGTTTTTTTGTTTTTCAAAATTCTTAAAAATAATTATCTCTTTTGCATTATATTTATAGGTAATGAGGATGTATATCACTTGAAATGGATGCATCTTCATCGTGGTGAACCAAAACGATGTTATTGTGGTATAAAATAATTGATATATAATTTTGGTCTATTTTTTTGCGAATATTTAATTTTGTCTATAGGTCATTGGTTCAAATTAACTGAACGACAATTTGTTGATTTAAGTGATTTTGGTATAACTGAAGATATGCAAAAACCAGCCGCCCATTAAGACTTGTCCTTTTTTCTACAATTAGACTATTGTAATCCTTCTTTAACTCTCATATGCTTTCGCTCTAGTTTGATCGTTTTTTTTTCATCGTGATCAAATTGAAATAAAAGAAAACCAAAATAGCATTTAGTTTTTTCTTTTTCCCTCTCTCTCTCTCAGTCGTTTGAATCTAATTAAAAAGAATATGGCAACAGTTCTAGTTTTTCTTTTTCTAATATTCATTTATCATACAATCTTTGCTGAATTATATCAAATAGCTTTATTTAATGATACAAATCCACAAAATAATATTTGTTATATGACAAATATAGAAAATAAAACTAATTATTGGTGTGAATTAGTTACATCTGAATTCATTTTACCAGCAATTAAAACATGTATATCAATTAATGAAAGCTTATCAAATCTTGATAATGAAACACTAATTAATGAATGGATTGATCGATCAATAGCAACAACAAATTGTTCATATTATCTTTTAAAATCCGTGACCATATCTCAGAAACGTATTTTAACAATAGTACAATCAATATTATTATTTGTTCTTTTTTTACCATTAATTTTTGAATTAAGTTTAACTATAATTCAATATTGCTTTTATTAATTGATCATTAAAAGGAAAAAATAAACATTTTATTAGTTTTTTTTTGTTTCAGATATGACTGATTATCAATTGAGTAATGATGATCATGAAGCATTGGAAAAATTTACAAAATTTTTCTTAGTTAAAGCAGCACAAATTATTGTACAATCACGTTTGGGTGAAAAGAAAACAACAAAGTCTAAACCTGTTTATTCTGGAAATGAATGGGTAAAAATCCTTATAATGGATAATAATAAAATAATCTCATCTTTTTTAGTTTCATCTTTCAATTAAAGATATTCCAGAAGTTACTGTAAATGCAAAAAAATGTTTAGGAGACGCTAAGCATCTTCTAATCGATCCTCCACATAGTCCATTTTGTGTTGAAATATCATTACGTACACCTGATTGTGATACAATTACATTAGAAACATGGTGTATATCATTTGATGATGCAATATCCGATCCAGCACAACGTGTTCGATTTAATGTATATAATCGTATGAGTGTCGTACTTCGATCTTTACTGGCATGTACACGTGCAACACCAACGTATCAATTATCACGTAAACAATCCGCTGATAAATATATTATTTGTTATAAAATGTATAGTGGTGAACCTATTGTTAGTCATCTGGGTGAACATTATTCAAAAAAAACAATTGGAAGTATAGTAACGCCAATTGGACGTTTTGTATTGAATGTTGCTTATCGTACATGTTTAACAATGTCATCACCACAAATGGATAATGGAACGAGTAGTGCTATGACACAATTTGGAATGGATATTAGAGATGATCATTTTTCATTAGATAGAAATCAACATAGCATTGAAGAGTAAGAGGATTTTAGAGAGAAATAATATATATATATATGTATACAGAAAGAGAGAGAAAGTAGCGTTCGAGAAAGAAACTGCAGCCTTCAGTCGTGATGGTTTCAGTAGATTAAATTGCGGTTTGCGCCAAAATACAGTCCTGTTTTCATAGTTTATCAGCTATCTATTTCATGTATTCATTCTATCAGACTAGAAATATTAAGAATGCTATGCTTTGATTTCATTAAAAATTGATCATACATCACATGCAAAAAACTTGAATATTGTACTTCATATTTCATTCTTTTCAATCCGAATGACGAATTTGAAAAATTTTTTTATGAAGTTTCATTTCATTGTAAAAAAATGCAACTTCTCGATCAAAATAATAAAATATGAGACTTTCAGTCATAAAATGTCCTTGTATTTTTGGATGTGGTATATAATCAATTTTGAGCGAAACCGAAATATATCATTATTAATACTTCTAGTCTATTAGATTAAATTCTTGACACAGAGAACTAATACTTCGAAGAGATAATTTATAAAAACTGATCTAAATTTTGGCGGAAGCCATAACTTAATTTGTTGCAAGCATCATCACATAAAGTACTTGCAAAAAATACGTCAACATTAAACGTTTAGGCTCATAGTTTGATCGTAACTAGAGCATGTTGAACTCAGATTTGTTAATAAGAAAATGTAGATTAACGCTTTTAAATAGTGTATTATCAGAAAAGTGACAAAAAAGCTAGTTTTTTCATTGTAAATCCTTTCCATTAACAATGAAACCTTTTGTACTGATCATTAAGAAGATTGATCGTATTCGGGTCAAATGAAAGTTCTCACCGCCAAAGTAACAAATTTAAAAAATAACATGGCCATAGCATATACAGAGTAATTTACTCATATCTCAAGATGTATGAAATCTAAATATGAAAACGCATCAGGATAGGTCCTCTATTCTGTTGCAAGGACAAAACATGGTATTGGTCGGGTCATATAACAGAGGGCCCCTCGAAACCCCTAAACTAGCCCGAACAACACTATGCTTTGTCCTCAGAATAGGGAAGAACACTTTTCCTGATTCATTTTTATAATTAGATTTCACATACCTTGAAATATTAGTAACTTACTCTAGAGACGCTATGGGCACGTAATATTTTGCATTTATTACTTTGTCGGTGAGAGCTTTCATTTGACACGATTATGATCAATGCTCTTGATGATAAGTACAAATTGTTCCATTGTAAGATCTGTTGACTTTCAGTTACTGCTTGCGATAATAGTTTATTAGAAAGACAAGGCAATTGGTTAGATATAGGATCGATTAAGCGGTACTGTATATACATATTGATCATTTATTTTTAGTATTAGTGATGCACAATTACCATCAGCAGATAATTCCAGCGTACCGAAAAGTTCGCCTATTGAAGTAACAAAACGAAGACATACCAGTTGTGATTCGGTTTCTTCCAGTCATGGGTAAATTTAATCATAAAATTGTGTATTTTATAATTATTTGTTTTCTTTTAAGTACACCTGATAAAGTTTATTATAGTAAATTACGTGCAGCTTTCGCAACACCCGGTACAACAGCACATCCATCACATATGGGTTCATATACTCGTACGAATGATAATGATTTACCATTTGTACTTATGATGCAACAACAAGAAAATACTCATCAACAACAACATTCAATGGAACAAGATCAATCACAAGAACAAAATTCAAAAAGTAACTTTTTTATAGGTGGTGATTCAGAAAATGAAACGGCGCCAGATGATTTTATTCTTGTTGAAGTGGTATGTAGTTAATAAATACTAATTTTGATAGTTCTAATTGGTGATTTGTTTTCATTATTTAATAGAAACCATTTTTTGGTAAAAGTGATTCAACAGATGATTTAGCCTTGTTTATTCGTTCATGTCAGCAGCCACCAATGCTTGAATCATTTGTTGTTGAACCATCACTTGGTGAAACAATTAATCAACTAAATGAAGAATTGCGTATATTTGAATCAAAAGTTGAAGAATTTGATCAACTTGTTAGCACTTTGGATATGAATCATAAAGCGTCACTAGATGCATCAGAATGATTAACATATTGTATTTGCATACCTCTTCTATAAAACAATACAACAGTGCTTTCGAATTAATGTGTCTTTTTCTTATTCCTTTTTTTTCGACAACTAAATTTTGATTCTTTATCCTTTTTTTGTACAGTTGGATAGAAAGAAAAAATCCATAATACTAATGAAACTTTATTCATTTTAAAATTTAGCTGATGAGCAAAACATAAAATGTGACTTAAAATAAACATTATTTTTTCTTCAGAAATGAAGAATGTTTTCGAAACTTAGAGAATGATGAATGGACAAAAAACTAATATTTAAGACAGCCGTGTATTAATTGTTGTTTAGTATTTATCCGTAGATCTGCAAAGCTTTGATTTAGCAAATATATAGTTTGACGTACTAGTGACATTGTAACATAAAAGAAAGAAACTTGAACAGATGTTGTTATTGTTATTTATTGATAAAGTTTCTATACAATAAAAGGAATCTATCATCTATAAATTTGTTTAATAATGCACAAGGAAAATAAATTAAATGAATTCCTAATTAATGAAACTCATACGCAACAAATATATTATATACAGGGTAGACTATAATCAGCAAAACGATAAAAAATTTGAATATTTCCACTGTTTCATTCTATAGAACTAGTTTTTTTTCTTGTGGTAGAGGAGACTTCAGAGATTTTTTCCATAAAAACAACAATTATGAATGGTACTTTGTAGTGCCATAACAGGCTCTAGTAATGGATTTCAATCGTTTATGCGTTTCGAGAAAGTTCACATAGAGTGGCCAATAAATACCTGTCTTTCTGATTCTAACCTCACACGTTAACCAAAAAGAAAAGCAGAACCAAAAAACTTTAATCAAAATATAAAATTGGCATATGTATAGATGAACGTTTTCGAAGAACTTCACTAAAATGCTCAAACTGATGTCCATTGGCATTAATGCACGGTTGAAATCTGTCGAGCACTGCTTCACAAACTTTCTTGCATAGTTCAGAATTTAAAGGTTGAAATGCTAAATCATTTGTCTGCTTGAGATGATTTAGACTTTAAGACCTATTTTTTCACACGAGTTCTTTGGCATTTTTCCGCAAGAAGAAATCCACATTGTTGGAAACTTCTGCTCTAGCCACTCTCAGACATCTAGCGCGCAGCGCGGTGATGCGCCATTCTGCATGAGAAAAGTTTACTGTCTGTTTGATAGACGATATAAAAGTCGTTAAAAGTAGTCCTGAATCATCGATAGACAACTTTGACCAATTATCACTCCTCCCAAAAGACATTCTCGATTTTGCGTTGCCCAATACACTGAATTATTGCGATTAACCACAAAAGATTTTCACAGAATTCGACACGTCAATCATAATTATCTTCATTCAACTTGTGAACTAATCTGAAGACGTAAGGTTTGAAATTCAAACTTTTGTAAATATGCCGAACTGACGTTCTTGAAATATTTAACAGTGAACTCATGCAATAAGTTGATGTCTGTGGTTTTGCTATCAGAAATAA